CAGTTTAAGTTATGAATTAGTTAATTGTTTTTGTAGAAGCTTTATCTTAGTTTGATTATTTTCAAGAGTTGCTCACAAAAGCAGTAGGCAATGTGTCTAAACGTGATGTAGCGCGGTTGATGAGGCTTGCTATAAAGCAGGCTCAGGACGTCCTACTGGTGGGTTAGGTCAGTCGAATCGTTGCAGTATACCTGAGATGGTTTATTGAGTAAAGGGTTTTACTGATCATAACCTTTTCTTGCTATATACCTGGTATTTTGTCATTTATGTTTTGTAGTTGTGTCCACATTTTTAAAATGGATTTCTGTGATAAGTTTCAATAGGGTGCATCCTAAAGTTGTATGTGTTCCTAATTAAAATCGGGTTTTGGCTTCAAATCATATATTATCCAGTTTGATCTGGTTTCGGAATAGTGGAACTTTTTTTCACACACTAGTAGTGAGTTGGTAGTGCGGTGGTGTTAAATAAGCTGCGTTGGTTGTTTAGGCTTCATTCCAACCAGATTGAACGAAAATTTCAAAGCTGTAAAAACTCTTTATAGTTGTTAACAGCATTTCGCAAAATGGAGAATTATTTTTTTATTATAAATTGTCGAGCAAAATTTTACAAAAATTTCTTTTATTCAAAAAAGCGGCAAGTGGAGGGACAAGTTGGAGACAAGTAGAAATTTCACCCGCGAAAAATTTAGCTTTACTATAATTTATGACTAAAATGTATGACTTAATGTATTGTTTTATAACACTATAGCATTAGAAATATCAAAAATACTGCTGAGTTATAGATTTCATTGAACATAATTCAAAATACAGCAATCGATTGGCACTCTTCGAACGAATGATGAAAAATTGTTTTTTTTCCGCATCTATGATGAAATTTGTTGCAACATTTTAATAATAAATGATGAGTAATTTTTTTTGTACTTAGTTTTAAAGTCATACTTACGAAAGGATTTTGGAGAAACCATTGGTAAAAACGTTTGCGATAGAAGGTGATTTTAAAATGAGTTTGACTAGTGTGCGATTGATGTTTTTTGTTCTACTGAATTTAAATCTATTTTTTTGGGTGTTCAAAAACTTCAGGTTAATTAAATTTTATCAAAGCGGCTAAAATAGCGTTCGCAAGCTTTTGTGTTTTAGAATGCCTGATCAATGACGTGATCTGTATGGTGGAGGTCAAATATGTGTTCTGTCTTGTGGAAAAAAGTTGATGTAATTTGTGGGTTAGCTTCGGTATCAGTGTTGTGTGGTGCGTCTTCAAGTATCTGTTAAAATTGTGATCTTAATAAGCGACAGGGAAATGATTAGATTTCCTTGAAGTGAAGTGATTGAGTATTTGTGATAAAATTATTGATTTCTTCGAGATGAATTGTGGAAGTTAGTTGTCAAATCTTGTTGGCATGTAGACTTTCATCGTCATACTTTTTCATGGGAATAACAATGGGGTTAGTAATTTTTAAAAGCTAAGACACGGAAGAGTGTGTATTAAGCTCTTTTTGTTAACAGGAAAGTCGCGTTGGCTTTTAGTTTTTTTTATTGTTGAAGCTATTTTGTAGGAAGCATGGGATGGAGTGAAGTAAAAACTCATGCGTGTTTTTGTGCGGTGTTAGGTCGTTTTCATTGTAGTCTATGTATCGATTTGCGGCTGACTAAATGTCTAGCTATGTTTAATTGCTGTCAACGTTTGTTTAGAACGCTTGCAGCTCTGTGGAGGATGACTGCTAGAGAAGATATTTGATTCAGAAGCGGATTGAGTTGATCGGTGAATTGATAGTTAATCGGTTGTTGTTAATCGGTTGTTGTTTAAAATTATCTGAACCATGCTCAACTTGATCGTCAGTAATAGGGCTGGGAGTATCTTTAAGGGGGTTCGAAAGTGGTGATAAAAGTGGGGTAGCTTTAGTGTAGTAAGAACTAGAATTGGATGAAAGGGTAACGACAAGGGCTTGGGAAATGATAGAAGGAAATGGTGGTGCAGAAAAAAAGTACTTTTCCTTGTGATCGATCACTATTTGGATGTATGACAAATCGTAGAATAGAGTCATCCTCAAAATTGTTGTCGGATTCCTGAATAATATTTTTGTGAAGTGTAATTACTGTTAACTTATAATATTTGGTGAGTCTTTCGGAATGAGCTCAATTATTTATTGGAATGGTTTTTCGCTGTAGGTTTTTTCTTCTTCTTATACTTCTTATGGATGATGTTGTTTTTACTTCCGTGTCAGAAAAATCTTTGTCCTCTATTTTTTTGTTTTATGTGTTGTTTTTGGTTTTTTGGGTTGTTGAAGTACACGTATCCTTGTAGCAACTGATTTTGGAATTGCTGTCCGTTTTCTTTAAAAACAATTTTTCGGAATTTGTTTTTTTTTGTAAATAAAACTTTTTTGTTTTGACTATTTTTTCGACGTTATAATACAAAATCTGTGTTTATGAGGTGTTACTACAACAAGGTCGTAACGGAATTTTTTATTGAGACAACTGTGGACAATTACTGTTTGCTTGTTTGCTATAATTGGTTTTGCTTTAAGTGCTAGGATGAAAGATGGATGCAAAAGCCAATTGTAAGTTATTCTAATTTTTTTACTTGTTCCTTATTCTTTTGTGATTGTTTTCCTAAATCCTTGAGTTGCATGTTTGTGGTGACAAGACGCATTGGGGAGAGAGAAGATTGTTCCTTTTGAATGATGTAAACTACACTCGGTTGGGTGGCTTTCTCGGCATTCAAAGATTATTTATTTTATCTAAAATTGGATCGATAATAGATCGACGGTTGCAGAATAGTAAAATTAGTCCATAGCGTCCAAGTATAATTAGAAGTATTATAGTTCGTTAAAAATATTTTTGTTAGTTTTTATTTCAAGGTGTGTTCTAAGCTTCTACATCAAACAAGATGTAGGGATCAACTAAAGGACGAGCAACCAAAGTTCTTCACTGTTTAGCTTAATTTAAATGGTGAGTTTCGACAAGAAAAATTGTCAATTAACCCTGGGTAATAGAAAAGGTTGAGAGCGAATCGACACCATAGGCTATTAGAGACTTAGTTAAAAAGATGAGTTGATTTGATAGGTTGGAGTTTAAAAGATTAAGAAAAATTTGACGATCTAGTACTAAAACAAATTTAAATTTTTTTCATAATTAAAGTATCAAGGAGGAGCATTGATGATTTGATCCTTTAAAAGACTATAAAAGCAACATGAATTTTGAAAAGCAACATAATCAATGAGAATACTTTATGATCTTGTTAATTGAATAAGTTTACTTTTTTTAAATTAAAGACTCAGGAAGAAGCCTTGATGATCTTGCAGTTTATGTTAAGTTATTCTTCAAAATAGAAAGATAAATTTAATAACAAATTTATTAGAAAAGGTTATTTATTATCTTTTTTTGAATATTTATAGAAACCATTGAACCTTGATGAACATTGACAATTAGATTTTAACTATTTTCTTTCTTGTTTTGGTTTTTTTTTGGATTTAGTGAATAAATCAAAAAAAAATTTGTTTAGGAAGTTCACTGCAGAGTTAAAACTTTGAGTTAAAATAACTTAAAATTTTTATGTTTAAAGTTTTGAATTTTTCCTTAATTTTTTACTCAAATTTATCAGGCTTTTTTTTGAATTTTATGGCTGAGTTTGTTTTAGTTAAGCTAGTATTGTTCGATTCGACTGCACAAACAATTATTGGTCATTTGTTTGTCGTTTTTGCTTATTTTTCACTTTGAGAAGCAGATTTAGTTTTCGTTACTCTGTGATGGAAGTTCGTCTTGAATGTTGGTTCGGCTTTATTAGATTTATTGATACGTGGAAATAAGCAAAATTTTATCTTTTTCTCTTGATTTGTTTACTGATTGCTAAAACTAAGTTAGTTGTGAGTCTGATCGAGACTCGTTGGTCGCACCAGATGAGTTCAGATCCGGGTGACCTTCTCAGATAGTAATTTCGGATAGGGTACATCGTCTGTTTGTAACGATATCTATTTGAAATTTATATCTTAATTGGAAAGAGCCCATACAACAGTACAAATTACCAAACACGTATTTTATCATGCTTTTCTTGTATTTCAAACCGATGAATGGTTCTGGAGCATTGAAAAAAACTCTGATGGGATTACACTTCAGAGGGGGAACAAATTAAACAGCGTCACTGATCAATATCGAGGAAAGCCGCGGTTAAAAGGGATTTCCGGCAGAAAATGCGTGAAACGATTGACTATAACGTCGAATTGCTTAACTATTTTGGATATTTTGTCATGGTCGCGGATCGAACGCGAGCTGTCTGAAAAATTCAACGTGTTGCTCAACAATAGCCAAATTTTTGCGGATCGCTTCTATGACAGCGCTGAAAAATTTCAAGAAACTTGTAAGCTTTAAAGAATATTCGATGTATTGCTTAACAATTCCCAACTTTTTGCCGATGGTTTCTTTGATAACACCGAAATGTTTAAAAAAAAATTGATGATTTTCAGAGAATAAAAAATGAATGAAATAACTTAGCGCTTCTGTCAATTTTTGTTGCATGATTCGATTGAAAATTTACTCTGTTTTTGCATACTTTCTGAAAAAACTCTTTTAAACTGTTAGTATCCTTTGTTCATGCTTTTGAATATAAATTAATCATTATATATTGTTTTGTAAATTTTGATGTGTAAAAATATGATTTAGTTGAATTCCAAAAACAATTCCCTTTGTTCAAATCATAAATAATTTAGCCTTGGCATTTTGCGCCGATGCAAATTTCATTACCTAGTGTACCTTTGACAATTAATTTTTTCTTGTATCTTGTGCTAAACAGTTTAAAGAAAAAATTTTCCGAAACTTTTCAAACTATCATCTCCCCTTGAGGTACCTAGTAGCGACTTGCCCCCCCCCCCATAAAGAAATAAGTCAATGGTTCAGCATATGTAAAGTTTGTACATTATAACGAATCCCCTCCCCCCACTTTTGGAAAGGGGAAAATAGTTAAACAGATTGGCGGTTATTACAACTACTGGTATTGGTGGTTATTACCTGTTGGTTATTACGATGTCTGGTACCCACACCTCTGTCTCCTTCATCCGGATCTCAGTGATGTTGCAGAAGTCCAGCGGGTCCCACTTCAGATTGGGGTCAATCCAGGACTAGAACAGAACAATCTTCTAGAACTTTCGGGAATTTTATGCTAAAATTTGGTGTTTTTAACCAAAAAATTCATTTTAAACGCTATTTTTTTCAATAGTTTATTTACTATTCTGTTTATTTTGTTGCATAAAACCACTGTGTTCATAAGTTTGAAAAGTAAGACTATTATTCAATTTCGAATTAGTGTATCTCGTTTCTTGATTTACTTGTTGAAAGATTTGTAAAAAATGACCTAGTTATAAACAAAAAAAACAATATTATTCTAGAAATATAAACGTTTAGAGTAAAATACATACTGAAGCAAGGGCAAATATCTTTGAAAAGAAAAAAGTATCAAGTTCGTATGCCAACTTCTCCTACGCCTTCGTCGCTATATGATACAAGGATGAGAACCGCACATCATTAGATCACGCGTTTAACTATAATAACACGAAAAACAACTAAGACGTTGGAAAAACTGAAAAGTGAGGGTGGGGGGGGGGGGGGTGGGGTTGGAAAACTATGAAGATTTACCGATCGTTCCCAGAGAAGCAGTGAGAGGACTTGATGTTTCTCATCCTGAAACAATCCAAATTCTGGGTTATGCATTGACTTCTAAAACTACACGTTATAAATTCCCCGAAGTATTCTATGAAATTTGTAAAAAATATTCCGGGAAATAAAATTTGAATTTGTGATCAGGGTGAGGTTCTAGGATTTTGTCAATGGACTTTCAAAATATTTTCGAGAATATTGTCGACTTTTTTTTAAGAAAAAAAAATTTCGGAAATTTTTATCCCAACTGGCGTATTTCGGGGAGCGCGTTTTTTGAAGACTTTTATACTTACAGTTTTTTTCTACATTTTTGTATTAGCCAGTTTTACTCTCACAGACCGAAAATGCTTGTCATACAATTCTAAAAACTAAGTCTAAAAATTATTGGTCACAGAAACTTCATACATTTTGATGAAATGATGTCATCGAATTATCAAAGAACTTTTTCTTTTTTCGGCATAAAAGTCGATGTTTCGTCATTAATAAAAAAGAAGACTGTTTTCTATGAAAAAAGAACGCTTACAATTTCTTTATTTGGAAATTGTATGACAACCATTTTTTTGATCAAGACAAAAAAATTTTTTTCAAGTAGTTTTGAAAATTCCCGCCCCAGAAAAGTTTTTTTTGTTCAACCACAAAACGAACTTTGTAAAAAAACGTTTGCAAAAATTATTGCCAATTTGGAGCAGTATGATACTTTCATTATATCAGTTTTGTCAGACAACACTAAGACATCTCTGCTCGTTTCTTTTGGATTTTGAATGCAAGTTCGTCTAACTTTTGGTGACTCTAGTTTCGAGTAAAACAAATCTTTGTTACTTGCGGATTAAAACAACCTGAAATATTTGATCAGAAGTTAAATGAAGTAAACGTTTTTTTGTTTAAGAAAAAACCTAGACATACAATTTCAAATGTGAAAAATCGCCTAATGTTGAACCTTTTGAGCAAAAGGGATTTGCATGGAAAACGTATGTCTTGCACTTTCGGACAAGCTGGGAAGCCGGTGAAGGATGATTTTAAAATGCTCAAATTTTTTAACCATGTCAAACTCATGTTGCTTTTTCCTCAAATTTTGAATAATGGCAAACAACGGTAGCCCTGATAATCTGCTTATATTACCTATATATATTCGATATAAAGTAAAAGAAACTTTTAAATGGTAAAAGTTTTCTGTTTATGAAAAAACTTAGACCTACAATTTCAATATGTGAAAACTCACTTAATCATAAATCTCTTGAGCAAAAAAAATTGCATGGAAAACGTATGTTTACCATTTTTCCATTATAAAAAAATAATAGCAAACAACGGTACCCTTAATAATCTGCTTATATTACCCAAATATTTCATATAAAATAAAAGAAACTTTAGCAAATTCAACAAGCGATTATCTCTCTATGCGAAAGATACAATTATTGAATTCAATTTGAAAAAAATACCGTTAAAAATTTTCAACGTTTTTTGACAATCGCAAAAGACTGTTTGAACAAAAATAAAGTGTCGTTGTAATTAAATAAAATTAAAACAGTTGTCTTCGCTGAAAGAAATGAGAAGAACAGCGAGTCAACTATTTTGAACTATGAAATTTTTTAGCGGAAGTTATAAAAATTTTGTATAAAATTACTCGAAGTGAAATTACTCTGAAAAAAATAACAACAGATAAATAATTCAAACATCAAAATAAGCAGGTAAGAGCACAAAATTTAGCGATCAATTTTAGAAAACACCACAATAAGTTTCGACGGTTACTTGAAATTGGAATTTCTACAACTGTCTCACAAAGCTTTTTCTTATTTTTTTGAACTGCTGTGAATAAAAACACAAAAAAACTAACATTTCTCTCAAAGTTTTTGGAGAATACGTTTTCCTTATCTTTTCATATAATTTTTTAAAATGTTTTCATTCCAATTAAAATTTTTCAAATTTCTGAGATATATTTTTTTTTCATATCAATTGTTTACAAAACTGAGTAAGAATTATACCGGTGGTACTATACCACCATATGCAATAGCTTTTCTTGTTCTTTTTACTGCCCAACGACGTCTGTAAAAAGTCATCGTTTGTCTAATGACATTATCCTAGACTGGGTTTTTTAAAGATGATTACTTATTTTAAAAAATAATTTGATGAATGTGGACCTCTACTGGAAACCCTTAATTACTATCAATTTTAACTTTATTCTTATGTTACTCCGCATTTTTGTACTGAACCGTCGAAACACAGCTGGTTGGGCATTGAGCAAACTCGAGCACTTCTTTTTGTCGAGAAAATTTTTGCAGGTTCGAAACATACGCAAAATTGGTCGAGGCGGTTGGAACATAAAGTAAGCCCCTCAACTCGGGAAAATTTGAGTGTTCTGTAATCAATTGTTACCATTTTTCTGAACTAATAAAAATCAATTTTAATAGTTTATAAACACAACAGTATGTTTCTTGTGCAATAGACGTTCATCGTTCTTGTCTTCAAAAATTTCTACGCGTTTTTGAAAAAATTTCTCACAAGTAAATTTGAAAAAATGCGAAATTTCGTTCTTACCACTCTAAAAAGTTGTCGCAATGCCACATCATAGTAAATAACCACTGGATCATCTGGATCGATAGCCGGCTGGTTTAGAAGACTGTATTTTTCCCTTAATTTCTGACCAAGAGTGAATCTGATTTCACCTTCGTTGCAGTTTGAGTCAATTGTCTCTTCGTTACCAACATTTATATTGATTAATATAATCGTCGTGATAATTAATGAAAATAATAGATGGCCAAAGATTAAGGATTGCATAATTAGATAGTTTCAATTTAATTGAAAATCGTTTTCGGTATCAAAATAACGTTCGTCGCAGAAGATTCATTTTGAAATATTTGGAAGGACTATTTCTATTCACAGTTTTTTTATCTGATTGAATTTACCTCGAACAGAATCGAATTATTTTGAACTGAACAGAAACTGAAATTTATTTTATTTTTATAAGACGTTAAAACGCAGGAAAAATTTAATTCTGTTTGTAAGAAAAATATATATTTTTTGTTTTGAAAAAAAAAATTTATTTCGAAAAAGCTCTCTTCAAAAAAATTGTACCGAGGTATTTATATCCAAGTTTTATGCGAAGAAAAAATTTCACAATAAGTTGACATAAGTCAAGTTTAAAAGTAGAGGGGCAGAGCGGAGCAGGGTAAAATTTGGGCAATGTAACTGGCTAAGTGCTGAGGGACATCGCTCTTAATTTTATGATTAGATTTGAAGAAATCGATGCTACAAAATGGGGAAACTCGCATAAATGGACTCATAAGGGCATTATAATTAAAGTCAAGGGCTCAAAATAGAGCAATTTTCGGGCAAAGAGAATCGGGGTTGGCTTTCTACTATCAGACGTGTTTAAACATTTGAAAGAAAAATTGGTATGATGCAATTTCTGTAATTGATTGTGTAACTAAAGTAATTGATTGCGTAATTTGATAACTTTTCCGACTTCCTGGTCTTCAAGAAAAGTGGTCTGAAAATGAAAATAACGCTATGTATGTTTTTTTACAGCGCACCAGCTATCACGTTTTTTATTTGGTTAACCAGACCGGATATTTTTTATAGTTGGTTTTTACGATTTCGCACGTTGTGGTAATTAAGACAGCCGAAGTCAAAACCAGCGCTGAAAAAATACTCCAGGGAAAGATAAAAGCAAGAACGAATGGAACCCAAATGACTGAAAATCGATTCTTTTCTGCTTTTCCATTTTTTTCCTCTAAGTTTTGTCACTTTGAAAGACAGGTCAGACATATGTGGAATAAATAAGCAAAAAAAAGACTTTCTCTCTTGGAGAAGACAAATGAATTATTGATTGATAATTTATTCAGTAAATGAGAATTTGAATTTTAAATGACTTCGGTATTAACTCGGCAACTATAACGCTCAAAATTTTCAACATTTTTATTATAAAATACAGACAGCTAATTAATTTTCTCTAATTTTAGTGCTAAGTTTTCAGATACATGTAACAAAAATGCATGTAAAGTTGAAATACTGGAAACTTGTTGTATCTTTTTTGAAAAAGTATGACGTAAAAATAATAAAAAAATAATTGCACCAGACCAGTAAAATTGACGACGACTATGGTTTGTTCCTTCAATGTAAAATGCACAAGTAGCTATTTGAGGTCTATTAATACCGCTTCCTGTTTAGTAAAAACAACCTTTAGTCAGTGATGGTTATAACTAGTCTACAGTTTTTAATAAATTTCGCCACTGGTCAGGATTTCATTTCATATCCGTTGGCTAACAGACAGACATGCAGGCATACTTTTACTTTCAAAAAAATTCCCCTTTTTCGATTTAAACTCATAAAAATTGCCGAAATATCGGAGATGATAATTGAAAAACACATAGAGGGCGTGAATAAAAACACATAAAAGACTAACATGCAATACAGATAGAGGCCGTAAAAAAGCACATAGAGGTCGAAAATGCAAAATACAGTCAATTGTTTTTTTGAAATATATTATGTTGTGATTCTGAAATGATTTCATCTATTTTGCGTTTAAGGCTTTGATATCATAATGGGGCTAATGTGCTTACAGAAGGGCAGAGCACGAGAGATGTTTTGAAAAAAAAATAACATGCTCAAAGCAGCTCAAAACAGAGCTTTTTCAGCTCTGTGGAATAACAACGACAGACTCTGAGTTTGTAAAACCAATTGTATGAAATGTGAATTGAAATAAGGAACGTTAGGATATCTGTATGTTTCACCAGATAACTTGAGGGTGATTTTTTCGTGCACATCAGATCATTAACACGGTCGTCTAGTACCGACCTTGACAACAACAACACCAACCTCACTCATTCTTACAACTAACACTTTGACCTTTAGGATCAACACAACAGCTCAATTGCACTTTCATATGGTTTGTTACTCAAGTCGTACCACGCTTCCCCCTTTCAAAAAAATTTCTGATCAACAGAAATTATAAACAAATCCAAAATGAGTTTTGATAAAAGTTTGAAATGTTTTCATTTTAGCTAGTCGTCCGACTTCTGAGGTTGTATTTTGTTCATTTTGAAGACTTTCATTCTTCTTCTTGGGGACGGAGACGAAGACAACTCAACCGCCGACACTGGGACCGTTAGCCCACCGGAAAATTCTGGCGTTGACGCTTCTGATACTTCTTTAACCGCATGGCGAATTGGGCTGCCATAAAATTGTGTCTGTCTCTTACTGCGACCTGAGGTTCTCGAAGAAGATGACTCGTTCCCGCCTTGTTCTGCTGTAGCTTCAGGAGTTATCTTCTGCGAGGTATCTGCCGACTTGTTAGGGCTGGATTTGTTTTTTCTACAGTCAGTGGGTAGGACTGTGGTGTGACGTTAGATTCTGCCACCTGGTCGTCTTCTAAGGATACCGGCACTAATCCAGCTGCATCTGAGACAACTTCTGCGCCCGGTTGTACAATGACTCTCCTGGTATTAACGGACCTCTTTTTATCAATCGTAAGAGGAGAATTGTCAATCGCCACAGTAGAATTGATTACGCCTCCTAAACTCGACGACGATCTTGTTAGATCCACTACCGGAATTGGGGGTCTGAGAGTCTGTATTGGGGTGCTGGTTCTGTTTGCGCTGGCAGGAATTGGTCAAAGTTCTCCTTGAAGAGGAACCGCCGGCGTTGCCAGTTTGCCTCTGTTGCGCTTGAGCCTTTGGGACTAGAAGTTTGTCCAACGAAGAAGATGATGAGAACTTTTTGTCTCTTGATCCTTTTTCTCATTACTCATTTGCTGTGTCCTTGACGACCTAAAACTTGTGAACTATATGGCGCTAATGAAATATCACTTTTCCTAAAAACTTTTTTCCGCCTCCGTAACATATGTTGAAGGAGTAACTTTGATCATTTTGTCCCAGTAACGTTTAAATAGTTGTTTCCCTGACTTGCGGTTTGCGACTTTCCTGAGTACTTCAACTGAATTTGGATTAGATAAAAGCAATGACTCTAGTTTACATTTGGCACTGGTTGTTGGCGAATCTAATGTGTCCTGTCTGAACCTCAGAGTCCCAGTTGTTAGATTATTCCTGAGAAAAGCCGCTAGGAATTAGTTTCTCAACTTCTTCATGGGTCAATTTCTATTTCCAGACCATTTTTTCATTCGCCGATTTTGCTAGATGTTCCAAGGATCTGTAGTAGGGTGTGCTTGCGATCTGAGTAATTACCTGCTTGATTTTGAGAGACACATCTCTGCTGTGGTAGCCCATCTTCACTACCTTGACGCGAGGCCTGCTATCGCACAACTCTCTTCTGTCCTCTGCTGTCAGGAGGTCTCCTCCCAAATTCTGCTCATCTCAATGTAAATTAAGTTTTAGGTTGTCGGTCGCTAACGACCTTTCAGAGTTTGGTTTCCTGCCCGGTGGATTATCTTCCAATTGTAAAGTTCCCAATTTTCTTTTAATCGTCTGAATAGTATGCTCTACCAATCCACATCCACGGTGATCTCCGCAGAAAATGTGATTGATGCCTTTTTATTTGCAAAATTGATCTATGGTCTTATTTTTAAAACCAGATTACTGGTCCGTTCTAATTGCTTTAGTTTTACTATGAGTAAGAATGTAGTTCTCCAAGAATTTTAAAATTTGGTTCGCTCCGTTCGTTATAGTAGGCATTGCAGACGGATAATTAGAGTAACGGTCGATAGCTACCAGGATATAAGTTTGGTTGCCTACACCGTCTGATAGTGGGCCAGCGTAGTCTAATTGCAGTTCTTCATTGAGCATTAAATTGAGGTAGAGACTTGTACATTTTAAAAGGACTCATTGGTTTTAATTTCTTACCTAAATTTGTACATTCACTGACACTCATGCAAAGATTGACAATGTCTCTGTGTATCCTCGGGCACAACAGATAATGGGCCGTGTCCAACATCGCCTCTTGGCCAGGGTGCAAACGGTGTAAACATGAAAGGACTGCCCGTTTGAGCAACTCGGTATCGCAATTCTGTGGTCGATGATTATGCAGCCGTTCACCACCGCTGCCGAGTCGCAAAAGGTCTTGATGTAGGGGTCTATCCTGGCGAAGCCTTCAAAGCCCCTGTTTCTTATCGCCATTTTAATCAAACCGAGAGTTGCGTCTTCATCCGTCAATTCGCTGAGGATGTCTGCATCTAGAATTCCTATCAGACCCGCCGGTAGTGATTTTTTGTCCTGGCGACTATTCTTTGCCCAATTGAAACTCAGTTAACTTGTCGCTCTTTTTGGACTGATCTTTCTTTGTGTTCGGAAGTTTGCAAATATAGTGGCGTATTTGGTTCGTCGGGGGTCGCCTGCTTCCGCTGATGACATTCTTCTTGGTCTCGTCGCCTTCTGTCAACGGATCGGTCTTGTGCAACCAATTGGAATTCTGTTTAGGGGATTGAATTCGTTCAACAATCTTCTGAAGCTTTCATCCTTTATGGAATCATCCGTAGCATTCGACATATCTAAAATTGGAAGAGTTTTACACTTTGATGATCCACTGATGAGCGAGTTATATTGACAATATAGCACCAATAATTTTGACATATTAGAGATGGATACAGGAGAAGACTGGGTTTTGTTACAGGATGTGATAGAATGCTCGAGAAATCTGCCAGAGCAATAGGCACGATTTCTCAAATCTGATTGGTTCCTGTTTTTGCATATATTATCTGCTCAAGGAGGATGTACTTTATGTTTTTTTCTTGATTCTGATTGGTTCAATTCTGTGCATAAATTAACCGCGCCCTCTCACGGCGAGCATCCGTTATGACGTTTACTCGATTGTGATTGGACCGATTCTGTGCAAAAAATAGTGACGCCCTCTCGCAGTGTGCATCCATGAT